TAGGGAGACCATCTGTCACATTTTCGTGAACGTGTTATCTAATACCTTAATGGAATATCTTCAAATGAGTTATAAGCGTCCACTTGGACTTAAGGATGAACTGATTTAATTATGGAGGTCACTGTGACTTCACAAAATCATTTGGACAGACATGGATTAAACCACATCTTGGCAGGTTGGCGCAGGCATACAAACCCAGGGCTGCAATTGAATAATTTTCCAGCCCTACTAAGCATTAAATATGACGCCGTTACAGAACATATTAGAATGCATATGAAATCCATAAAGCATGTCAGTGTGTGCATGTTTATCAATCTTTATAAATACACATTAGAATACACCTATTTCCGCCATGTCAAGAGGATCCCTCTGGGCTATTTTCATTTGTTGCAAATGGCTTCAGAAATAAATAGGGTCTTGGACCACGGAGGCTGAAGAAGAACACCATGATGGATTGATCCGCTCCATCTATCCTCAGAGCGAATCAATCATCTTAGCTTTTGGTGCTGTTTTCAAAAGGAATTTTCCTCACTTGGCTGCTTCGCCCGCAGCCACAAAGAGCTGCCCTGAGGTTGGATAACCCGAGTGCATGAGATATCTGAATACTCTCTTTCTCTCAGTTGTCACAGTCACTATTTGTAATCGAAATGAGATGGGACTGCTACGTAGGCAACAAATAAAAATCCATTATAATATAATACAGTTTGAGTTACATCTAGAGATATGCTTGATGTTCTTGCTCTGTACCAGTAGCAGAAGCAGGGGGTCTTTCTGTGCGTACAGTACAGTGCACGGCTCACACTGAGCAGATGGTCCTCTACAGTTATGCAGACTACATGTGTCCCGCTTCAGGCTAGCACTGCCCTCTCGCTGACAGTATGAGGTGAACTGCCAGAAGGCAAAGTACAGCAGATGAGATTTCAAAGGGAGGGGGTATGTGGTAAATTCAATCTGAAAAAGTCAAAGCCATGGCACGGAAACCTTGTCAGGACTATAAGCTTGGTATGGGATACTGTAACAGAATCAGGAACAGTTAATGAGAAGAAATGACTTGCTAGTAATGTAATATGACTTAACGAGTGAGTTGGAAGGTGCAGAAAGCTTTACACTGTTTCTCTCTGCCTCTGAGACTAAATATAGTCTGGGATTTATAGCCCAACGCATATGGCACCCATAACCCAGTCAAGCCAAGTCATTGATCCCTGCCCCACATGGCTTTTGGAATCCGTGCTAACCTCATCAGATAATCCATGAAGCTGTGGAGATTAGGCTAAAGGTCAGCAGTGATGAGAGTTTTGGCCATACAGTTAATAATGTACCGGTAGCTACACATACTATATGTGCTGCATGGCTTGTAGAGTGGATACTGAAAACAATTTAAGGGGTAAAATGAGTAGGGTTAATTTTAGAAACAGTTTATTATGTTATGTTTCACGGTTTCACGACATGAAAGCAACATCAAAGAACAAATAATCTTTTGAGGCAAAAAGGCAATATGATATATCTATGGCATTTGGGCATTTTGTTCAGTAATGATGTCACATTGGGCTTTGGGGGATTAAGGTTGCCATTTTTCAGTTTTTTCTGACATTTTATAGACCAAACTTGAGTAACTGAATAATAAAAGAAAAAAGGTAAAGCTTTTAAGATGCCCTATAATGTTTTTGGGGTTTATCCTTTCCTGTAGTGTGTTATATGTTTATGTGCTTGTGAATGTTCTGTGAAGGCCATTTTAGTTATTTGTCTTCTTCTGTAACATACTGTAGTGACAGCATGTAAACATGTCACAGAAGAGGCACAGAACACAATTATGAACCTAAAAATTAGCAAAATATGGCCCCTTTAAAGTGGACCTATCATGCTATATTTGAAACATATATTGTAGGGCCATACCTATATAAAACATGTCTGTGAAGTTTTTTTTCAAAATATCAAACAGATCATGCATTTTAGCCATGCCTCATTTCGCTCTATTTGCTCTTTTCCAGCCCTGTTTTTGCAAGGGCTGATTCTGCTTTAGTGGCAGACTACAGCGCCACTTACAGGCCTGGCATATGTACTACAGCGTCTCCAGCGCTTTCGAGCGGTCTCTCATTCCCCTGATAGGTGGAGAGTTGCCCATATAGGCGGAGCACCCCTTTTCTGACGTCAGAGATATTTCAAATCTGTATCAGCTCCGTTGCAGCCCTGTTTTTAGAGATTTGGGTATGGAGGAAAAGAGAGAGTGCTGTGTTTTCTGACACTTGGTGAGTTCCCTGACACACCGGGGACACATATTCATGTATAAAAGACGTACGAAAGTGCATTTTGCATGATAGGTCCCCTTTAAATAATGTTGTACAACAAAGCAAGTGGAGTTTTGTGGCCCAAAGGTATGGTGCGTTTGCATGTTTGGCGAGCTTCAATAACTTGTGATATAACTGCAGACTTTGATGTGCCAGCTTGCTGTGTGGTTGCATCAGATCAATCCAGCCATCTACTGTAAACAGTGTTATTCACGGGAATGAATTAAATATTTTACATCACCTCTCATTTAACCAGGTCAACTTCCACACGTTTTCTAGTCATCTTCGACATGAGCCCCGAAGCAGTTACATTCAAAGTCTTATCTAGTCACAGTTTCTTGTTATTAAACTTCCAAACTACAATTTGCCTTTCATTTATTTTACTGTATTTCATTAAGGATAATGTTTATTTTCCTTTGTGCCGAGCTTTCTCTAATAGGTTGAGCTGCATTTGCATAATGTTTGGTCATATCAGAATGAAAAAAGGCCATGCAAAGTCTCATTAGGCCACCAGCATGGAATAAACACCACTTTCTCATTTAGTTTCTAAAAAAAGAAAGGCCTATAAAGGAGATTTATTAAGAATGCACATAACTGCACACACATTTATTTTACACAGTATGAGTGCAACATGTGCTCAGCATACACTGGTGTGTAATCCAGGAGCAGCTGCTAAACACTAGCTATTATCTTTGTGTACCAGTTATTTTTCTCCCCTCTGGTGGTTGATTCCTAAATGACTCGACTTTCATCATACAGTACAGTGACTGATGCTTTGTAGCTGACGCTCTTCATCTATTAGTGATGCTTTTCATCTGGGCCACACAGCTGAGTATTCTCATTCTACATCACGGCAGCAATTACTGAAGATCTGCTCATAAGAGACTTTAATGTTTTACTTTTTATCACAGATGCTGTCAAGATACTGTTGCTAATGAGAACATTAAAGCTTTGGGGTTGAATCTGAGCACTTATCTACCTTCAAATAACTTCTATCACAGTCAAGTAACTAATGAAATGTCAGCTTTTTATTGTACTCACAACTTTCTTAAGGCTAAGTAAAAACTCTTCTTAATTTGACATATTTGACAACACAAATCTGTTATTTTTCGTATTATGGAAAGTCTCTACAAAGGAGACACCGTCTGGGTGGGTTTGTTTGAAATGTTGTAGCTTAGCATCACTGTGAAGCTCTGTCAAAACAAATTCAGTAAACGACAACATGCTGTTTCAACCATATGAGTTTGCAGCTTTCGCTAAACAGCTTAAAGACATTTTACATTTATGTAGTAAGTGTGGAATGAGATAAAAGTTGTTGGGAACGACACCAGTGGAAAAAACAGCTGGTAACACAGATGAAACTTTCCGTTGCAGTTTAACAAGAGATTGTCTTTGTGTCTTCCCAAATCTATTACTTTTTTCCCTTTACACACCCCGAAATAGTGGGAGAACATATACATTTTACCTCTAACATTTAGCTTTTAGCAGTATGTTGTAAACACCTACCCAGGGTGTCCGCGGGGTCTTAAAAAGTATTAAAAGTTGATAAATCAATTTAGCGAAAATTAAGGCTATTAAAAAGTATCAAACTGCATTTTCCAAGGTATTACATTTTGTAGCTTGTTTTCAATAAGTATATAAGTTGTCCAAAGAGGTTGTATTCTACAGTCTGCCTGAATGTAATCATTGCGTAGGTGTGTAGTGTGATTCTGTGTAGTTTATTTATGGCATCCCGTTGGATTTGACGTCATCTGAACAGGACATCGCACGCTCACTGCTTGATAGCGCGCAAAGGTCCGTTTACGCCGGTTGTTAAACAACAACGTTCTGGGGAAATGCAAGTCTGCGTCCAAATGGTTGGAAGATAAGGAGGAAGAACAATCAATACTGTTTATAGTGAATGTGAGGTAAAGTGTGTCGCCAAGGTAACCGGTTAAAACTCAAAGTGGCGATGAGGTCTTAAATGTATGGAAAGGGTCTTAAAAGGTCTTACATTTGACTTCAGGATTCCTGCATATACCCTGCCTACCGTAATAAATGGTAAAACGCTATTATTTTGCAAGTAAAACAGCATTAAATAGTGGTATTTACTGAATCTGTCAACAACTTTAAGACATATGCCAACAACTAATCATCATAATATATTTACACAAATGTTATACTGTGATTTAAAGGTCCCATTACATGGCCATTTCTACTGATCATAATTCCATTGTTGAGGTCTACTAGAATATATTTACATTGTTCAATGTTCCAAACTCACATTGGTTTCTCATACAGCATCTCTGTATAGTAAGTGTATTCACTCTCTGTCCTACACGCCTTGTTGGAGCTCCTGCCCCCCCCCCCTCCCTATGAGCCCACTGTGCTCTGATTGGTCAGCTCGCCCACTCTGTTCTGATGAGTCAACCACCGTTACAGCGGGCGTGCGTGCGTGCGTGCGTGCGTGCGTGCGTGCGTGCGTGCGGAGCTACAGGGTGTACTTTGATGGTTTGTGACTTTGCAGACCGTTTACATAAAAAGCTACATAACACACAAAGGGACGGGTAATGCATGTCATGGGACCTTTAAAGCATTTACAAAGAACATCAGAGGTGGTTTTACACATCAAACTTCTAGAAACCACATTTGCCTATATATGATTGCATGTGTGATGTTATGGTTGTAAAATAAAGAGTTGTATAAGGAGTTAAAACATGTCTCTTTGTTTTTCAGGCGGCCTCAGAGGAGCCTCCATCATCGACTCACTGGACACACTTTACATTATGGGACTGATGGAAGAATATAACGATGCCAAGGAGTGGGTGCAGACCAGCTTGGACCTAAACTCTGTAAGAAACCCTATTTCCTTCATGTAGTTGGACACCTTTTTTATTTTGGCCATTCACCTCTCTTTTATGTCTGAGTTAGCTCAAGGGTAACCACTATATTAGCATAATGGCGTTTTCAGCAGTGGCGCTGCGTGGTGGATCGATTTGAAGCAGTGCCTTTGTGCTTCAGCTCCAACATTGTGTCCAGTGTGTTTGACAGTTTTCCAAAGCTCAGGACATTCTTGCAGGAATCAAAAGCTTCCTGTGTGGTCACCGGCCACGCCGTGTTACCCTCTGATGGGATTCTCCCCCCCCCTCTGAAGGGTCTCCGTGGGGCAGAAAATGTGATAAATAAAAGAAAGAGAGCAAGGGAGGAGTTAAAGGGAAGTTTCTTTTAAAGTAGATGGAGTGAGAGAAGAGGCAAATAAGGAGGCTCTTTTATTGAGTCTGTAATTATGGTGTCAGGAACAACTGAGGGTTGCCAGGTCTGAAATCATGTTGGGATTGAGAGGAAGCCGCAGAGAGTGCCAACCAGGACAAGTTTTTGTGAAGTTTGTTGCTAACAGTCAAGTGGCAGCTTGTCTGTGGTTTTGTAACTGACGGAGATCACTTCTCGGTCATGTTGTCACCAGGTTTTATAATGTGTGCTTTGCATAATGTTGTGTAATTACACAACGCTTTCAAACTGTAGATGCTAGGCAATAATTACACCAATTCACTGCCTGTTATGACAAGGTGCTAGATGCTTTCCATTCGAACATATTTGTTTGCTGACTAAATATTCCTTAATTAGAATTTGAAAACACCTATTTATTTCTGGTTTATTGTTAATAAAAAATCCTGGCATGTGGGGCATAGTGTGCCTGAAGCCCCCGGTACATTTGAACAGCACGCCATTGTTTGTGGAAAGATATAATCAAGCTGACAGTTTTGCATGCATATTTATTCCACTGGGATGCAGCCCCAGTATATAATCAGGGCTAAAGCACACTAAGAATCTGTTTATTATGAGCTTTTATCTCGTGGAGCTCAGCAACTTCTTGATTACCGCCACTTTTGAGGCCATAAATAATCCACTGTGCGCCCTAACATCAAAGGAAACCCTCATAAACCCTCAGTGTCTATGCTTCTAGCTCATGGCACCAACGTAAACACACGTCAGTCAGTCAGTCACACAACACACACACACACACACACACACACACACACACACACACACACACACACACACACACACACACACACACACACACACACACACACACACACACACACACACACACCATGTATACATCACTTCAGGGGACATTACATTGACTTACATGCATTTCCTGGAGACTTATCCTAACCTTAACCATAACCAACACATGCCTAACCCTAACCCTTACCCTTAACCTTACCCTTACCCTAACCCTAATCCTAAACCTAACCAAGTCTTCACCCTAAAATTAATGATTCCCCTCATGGGGACCTCCATTTTGTCCCCATGTTCACTTTTTTTTTGCATCACAGCCGCTTTATTTGTAAAATGAATAAAGACAAAGACAAGACGCCACACATTTAACATAACATCATAATCACAAGAGACAATATATTCAAAATCCTTTAACGTACATTTGATCTGGGATTAAGGTCCATATTTTATTTTAGGTTTAACTGATTCGCAAAAGAATGATTAAATTCATTAAATCATTGAGCTCTGTTTCTCCCATTTTCATAGTAGCAATTTGTACCCACTGTTTAGTTTGGATCAGACACAATGTTGTTGATATGTTTTCACAGTCGGTTTACTCATAGTGCCTCGAGGAGCAGATATCTTTCTCCTGCATAGGACTATTAACTTTGAGAGGAGCTGCTGGCTGCGGCAGCGTGTGAGGGAAGAGGGCCAGTAATGGCAGCGGCTGACAAAGCGCCACACTGTCAGCCATCATAAAGACAACAAACACAGATTTACACTTCACTCTGCACTTCGTCACGGGTGTGATCTGCAATAATCCTTCAACCTCAATCATGTGCCTTGAGCCGTGGTCTCCTGGGGTCACGTCCTTCACACTCCACTCTTCAATCTTGGCCAAATTTGATATTTTACTGTATGAGCAAATCATTTCATGTTTTAGTGGAGAGGCTGTTTTCTGTCTTGAAACACATCTTTGGGCAGCAGCCAAGTATGAGCTTCTGTCCTCCTCCCTGAAAATAAATCAGGCAGTTTTGCAGTAATTCCAGTTTATTTAACCATATTTATGAATTTGATACGGCAGCTTTTTGCCAGCATGGTGAATGATTCATTATTGATCTTTGTACAATGGAGACAGACAGAGAGATGTGAGGCTTTGTTACACACTTACACATACTCTCTTACCCGTCTACTGTAAACAGAAGTGACGTGTTTAGATCAGTGCTTGAATTGGAATGAAAAAGGTGCCAGTACTCTAAAATCAGCAACTTTTTCAAGTCAATTTTATATATACAGCCCACAAACAAGAATTTGGCTACTATAATGCTGGTGGGTTTGTCTCTTTACTACTGTATATTTTAGAAAGGTTCACTGTACGTAACATTTTTTATGATAGGCAGCGGATATGGCTAAAGCTCAGTAAGGTCAATATTAACTGAAAATATAGCAATCAAAGTCTAGATCTTCTGCTGAAGACACATGAAGCAGAGACCTTTCAGGTGAGAGCCCCTCTGGTGGTGTTCAACATTAATGGCAAGGAAACAAAGCTCTGGTCAGAAGCATTTTTTATAAAAAGCTTTAACAAAATTAAGTATTTCTGTACATTTTGAATGCAATCTAACTTTCCAACTCAGAAAACGAAAAACGAAAAAGTGCCAAAAGTCTTCTCACATGGCTGAGCTGCTTTGCAATATACTTCACCACTGAAGAATACAAATATGTATAAAGTAAACTATGATGCAATCTAACTTTCCAACTCAGAAAAATGATAAAGAGCATGAACAAAGAACATGTAAAAACAAATGCAAAATGTGCACAATCTAACATTAGAAACTGTAACTGCAAGTAACAAAGTCTGAGCCATGGTAAAGAGTTACATTGAACACCAAGCTGATCAGATAACTCCCTGGTTGGTCTGAAGTCCTTCTATCTCCAGGATCTGTACAAATCGGCACATTATGCCAAAAGTCTTCTCACTGGGTGAGCTGCTTTGCAATATACTTCACATTGTTAGAAAAGGCTCCAGAAGGCCTTGGGGACATCAGTATCAGGGGCTGGAGCTGGACAGGCTCTTTCATCAGGACTTCTCCTTCCCTTTGCCAGCCAGGACCTCACATACTGTTCCGGATTTAACTGTCCTAGTGATGGTCCATTACATTTAATGAAAACCAGGCTGGACAGTCGGCTGACAGAGAGAGCATTCCTTTTTGCAGTAAGGATATCGTTCATGCAGCTGAATGCCCGCTCACACTCACTAGTGGAGGCAGCGATGGTTCGGACTGCTTTCAGTAGAGGCTCCATGGCAGCAGGTGTACGGGATGCCCTGGTTTCCTTGTATTCGCGAAAGCCCTGAACAGTCTCTCTTCTGTCCACTTTCAGCACTTCGCACAAACGTAGCACCTCTACGTCCCCATACTGTACGTCTAACTCCTCTTCAGGCCAACATCCAGGATGGATAACTTTCATGTCCTGGATTAGCTGATTGTCCCGGGCCTCCCGGCCATGTAATGGGATTTCTCTTGTGCTGACATGAGAGGAGGTTGTGGAAGTCATTCTGTGTCTCAGATTCTCTACCATACTGCGGAAAAACTGACCTGCATGAATCTGTACAAGCCTGCCATTCTCACGCAGGGCAACACCCTTGAAGGACTTCTCAGCTAGAGCTGTATGAACTGTAGTCATGTGTGGGCCAGGCATGGTGACCATGGATTCAAAAACTCGTATTTCTCGAGTTAAGAGCCTATCTGCTGTAGGCAGTGTCATCTCTCTTTTTTGGAGTTGCCGAGAGAGGTCGCTGAGCTCTGTGAGCGCATCGTACATCAGTCCCAGATTGCTGACAAACGTTGCAGATGTGAGCACATCATCCAGGCCCTTGTACTTTGCTCTGTCTCTGGAATCCCTGCTCGTGTCGTTTGCAGCATTTGTGAAGTGATCATGAAGCACTCGGTAGTTTTCCCAGACTGCTCTGACGCTCCTTTCACTTGAAGCCACCCAGCGGATGGACAAAACACGCCCTATCACCAGGAGACGCTGTCCGACTGCTTGCGCACACTGCGCTAACTGCCTCTGATTTTTGGGGGAGGCATGGAACAAGGAATAGAGTTTGTCAAAAAGATCTGGAAATGATTGAGCCCTGAGACCTCCTTGACCACATCCCCAACTGCCAGCTCTAGACGATGATTGGAGCAGTGCCACACAAACAGGCTTGGGAATTTACTACACAACTGGGTAGCAACGCCTGTTCTCTTCCCTAGCATGACTGAAGCCCCATCACATGCAAAAGAAACGAAACACTGACCTAAAAAGTCCTCGTTAAAATCTCTTCCAAGACACTCCATTAACGCCTTTGTGATGTCATCAGCCGTTGTTCCATCCAACTCGATCAGCTCCCAAAAAAAACGTTTCGGGCTCAGCATCAGCTAATGCTGAGCGTAGACACACAACAAGCACCGTTTTACCACTAATAGTGGTAGATTCATCGACCAAAACACAGAGTTTTCTTTGGTTTTCTGTAATGTCTTTTGCCATTTTTTTCTTCAGCTCATGAGCTATGTGGTCGATGATTTCACCACAGGTTTTATTGGAGTGCAAAACCCTGCCCACGTTCAGCCCATTCAGTTTCTGTACATTCAAATCAATTGGCATGTCTGTGAATGGCCGGCTATGTTTGCCAATTTTATATGCCGTTCGAAAAACTCTGATAGTGGTGTCTAATTCAGATGTATGCATAGACTGCACTTGATGTTGAATAGTTTCACGTGAAGCAGATGTAAGGATGTCAGCAGCTTTTACATGGGCTTGTGATTCTTTATGTTCTTTGATTTTTTTTCTCAGGCTAGCTTGTTGT